GCTCCTATACTTTGAGTGGGAGTGTACACAGCCTTTAAATAGCACGTTAAATGGTCACAAATGTGGAATGCTTTCCTGTGCTTAATTTCTGTCGATCTAAACTGAATAAAGTGCATATAACTCTGAAATCAAAAGAAGCCTTTCTATCTTTAACACTAGAACTATCAAACTCGTCGAAACGCTGGATTTCAGACTTCTTATTTTACAATTATAGGTAATTGTACAAGTGTTTATATCGGAGTTTATAAACTTTTAAATCATTATATATTTCATATTACATTATAATGTGTTATACTGTGTTATATTGTATACTATACGTATTACTGAATTACAAAATTGAATTTAGTATACATTCAAGACTGGTAGTTCTAGTGTTAAAAGATTCTTTCCTGAAGAATGTCCAGATGAATTGTTAAAGATTCACGAAATTAACTTCATACCGTCTTGCGTATAATACGATCGAAATTGTTTGACAGTAACAGAGAAACAGATTTATAGGAAGGACGATAGGAAATGGGATAGGAAACATCTCCTTGTCAGGTGACAGACGAAGGTGGAGGCTTCTAAAGGTCCACTCACAGAGCGCGCGGAACACACGGCTGTATAAAGTCGATCCTCCACCGACGGGAGCCGTCAGTTCGGCACGACACCTCTGTATAGCACGACAGAGGAACTCGTCTCTCGGTTTTCTATAACACGCGACAAGCTGCGGTCGTAGTTACATCTCCATCGTTCGAAAACAAATCAGTGCTACCACGGTGAACAAATAAAATTAATTGAATAAATCGGTCAACTAAGTACTTTACGTACAGTGGACTGTTTGTACGTAGGAAAACTGTGTGTCCGACGAATTAACACGGACACGATGTGTTAAGTGAATAGCAGTCGACAATTCTGAGAGACTCGAAATTTCATAATTGAATCAGTTCCTTTTATCGAGGAGTAATCAGGTGCAGGTGACACTATGTGATTGAGTGTTAATTGTACGAAACTTTCGAATGTTTATTGTTAAATTTTCATCTTACCACGGAGGTGTATTTTAAGTAAACAATAGAAGCAGGTACTCCATTCAATTGGTTTATCTTTAATAAATTAAAAATTTCTGATTCGTAATTGGATATGTCTCTAAGAATCTTATACAATTTCATGAAATGATAATTTTCTTTATCGAGGATTCCATTAAGTTCCACTTCGGAATTAGATTCCAGTAGAAATTCATACAATCCATAGAATAATTATCTTGCATAAAAATAAAAGAACACAAAAAGGTACCTTAATATAATCGTACATAATTTACATTTTCCTCTATACAACCAAGTATCCATTGATTTATGAACTCTACTATACTTCAGTATGCGAATAATAAAAAAAAAACTTCAGTGTCCGTTTTGACAGATCCATCAAATGACTTTACCTTGTTTTTGTTTCCAATGAGGTCGTGAGTTCGATGCATCAAGTGTTTGTAATAGATTCTATGTTTGGAGACCTGACATCTTCTTTTACTGTTAGCCCAAGTGTTTCGCCACCCATTAGTAGCAACCAATCAATGCCTACAAAGGGTGTCTGTAGGTCCCGATACTTATGTTTCGTATCTTTTTCCGCTTTTTATATAGTATGCTAAAAAATTCAGCGTGTAATTAAGATATGCAAGGAATGTGTCTGCGACGCTATGGCCATTGAAGAATCCGAGACTTCCGAAAATCATGCCAGACCGGGAACGTGATAGAGACTTCTACGACCGCCAAAGTATGATGTGAACCTCTTTACCCTGCCAGACAGCTTTAACAGCTTTTTTTATCGCCACACGTAAGAATTTTTTTTTTTTTTATCGTGATACGTATGGAACCGCTTAAAGCAGTCTGTATCGCACAAATCTAAATTTACGTTCCCTTTGATGAGTTCTACTTCTATTTTCGTGCTTGGATGCAAGCGGCCTTGATTCCGTGCCCTTCTTGACACACAAAACTGCGTTCCTGTACTGTCTACGGATATGAACTAATTTGCCAAATTTTGACTAATAAACTTTAGCAAAGAAATATATCTTTTATACTGAGTACTTGATTCTGATACATTAAAAATTAGTCCCATTAGAGTTAAAAGTCTTCTTTGAATCCTTTGAAATTTCATTTTCTTTCTATATGTTCAGGCATAACAAATATTGTGAAATTATCGTAACATTTTAATTGAGTAAAGTGTTATTTTACTTTCATCTGGTGTCATACCTACATGTACATCAGACACATATAAATTTCGTAACTACTTAGCAGATTGTGATGTAACTTGCTCAAGTTATCACAAATTACTCTGCTAATAAAGTTTGTTCAGTCGATATGATTAAACTTTTCTGAATTCCCCTGCAATTCTTCGATTCAGTACCCATTTTATAAGTAAGTAATGAAACTGAATTTCTCAGAAAAAACTGATGGTTACAATACGTTAGGTCTTTTCCAAGATAACCGTAAACAATTGAGAACTAGACAATCTGAAATGCCTTGAAAAGAAATGAATCAAATAACAATAAAAAATAGAGGTTCCCTGAAGATTCATTACAATAAATTTAAGTCTATTAAAATGGATTAATAACCATATTTTTCATAACGGTCTACCATTTTTTAAGTGCATTTACATCAGACAAATGACAACACGAATACCCGTAACTACTCCGGAGAAATTCTCCAATATTTCGTCGCCTCATAAAATATGTATCTGTCACTGAATAAATTCAAGATAAAAATAAACTTTTTGTACAATCCAGCATTGTACATAATTTTCTTTCATTACGATACCGTAAAATATATACGCTACCGCGGAAATGGAAGGGCAACGCCAGTGCACGTAATCGGAGCTGTCATCAGTAGCCGCTTGACAAGTACCTTATCCATTCCGTTCGACGGATAATCGCCTTTTCGCCGATTGGTCTTTTTGCGAACCACGTATTAATAGTTCGCGATCACGGCGCGGGTCGATAATCGTAAAAATAAACGGTATCCCACTTTATACCGGGACTTGCGTAAGTAGATCCTTCCGAACGGTTTCATTCTTTCCGCCCTGTTTTCGTTGCCATAAAGTAACCCGCGTTTTGTAAACGTTTGTCCAGAAAAAATAGACCACCCATCGTGAAGCTGACAGTTTCGCAGAGACTTCGACTAGGTTGTTTGCCCCATCGATCTGTAAATTTGAGAGTTTACTACATACCTGTTACATCATAAACGGATTGCAAATTTTACTCAGTTATAATATTCATTAGGCATATACAGTGTAGTGCAAAAGTTCCAGATAAATAGACTGTTCACATTATTTTCCGAAGCGATGTATAAAACAATATTAACTAATATATACTGGATATATGTGCATGGCAAATGAAAAAAAGCAGTACCAGAAATAAATAATAATGTACTTACACCTAATATCAGTTAAACTTCTTTCACATATCGCTTCTAGAAAATAAAGTGAAAAATTTGTCGGTTCTGAAACTTTTGCAGGACACTGTACGAAAATATCGTTTTCTTGCATTCTTATGCATTGCACGAAGGAGAAATTAATACCATTAAACTGAAGACTATGCAGAAAATAAAACGAAATTGATCATGAATAAAGTTCGATTAAGTAGTTCTTGTATTTATAACTTAATAAAACTATTGATAGAGGAAATAAATTTACGGTTCGTTCTCTTGTTTGTAAATTGACATATGAAAATTTGAATTTGCATAAACATTGGCTGTAAAATAGCAAGAAGCGGACCGTAGGAATTTAATTATAAGTGGATTTGGAAAGTAGTAGCTGAGGCGACGAAAAACATGTCAAAAGAATTTCCTGTGTTTATATAATACTTTGTCACCACCTCGGGACAATGATTAATTAATACACCGGACCCAGAATTTGAAATATTACGTTGCTAATATATTCTGTAATATCTCGCGTTCGAGGGGCACGGGAATAGCGACCCGAACACACATCGCATAATTCATACACGCGTATATACGACTACTTATCACACTCTTACTGTGCACTTAACGTGTAATATTCATACGACGATAACCAGTAATTAATATGCACGCACGCCGGCCGCTTAAGCTAATAAATAATCGGAGAATAATTTAATTACGCCCGGATCGTTGGATAACTGGCCGCAAAATCCGACAAAGCGTGTTTTCTGGATCGCTGAATATTCCGCTCAAGGATTACTACAGGGTGTTTCAGACTTGCGAGTAAAAACTTCTCTTCCGTAGCTTCGAGAATAATAGAAAGACAATGACCTAATAAAAATATAAACTGTATATTGTAAACTAATATCTGTGTATACTACAGTAAACATTGTCGATCAAATTTTTGGAATCTTTTCGTAAATGAAAACAAAATAAGAAGGTAATCTTTAAATAAACAAATTTACAGAAGTGTAAGTGAATGACGATATATTAAAATTTATAAAATCAAGAAACATTACAATAATCAATTTAATTCGAGTTGAGAACATTATCTCAAAGAAATAACGTTCTAATATTCTCAGAAGAGATTTATCTCAAAAAACAAGAACCGTGATCTTTTCAGTTCACTCATACAGATTATTTTCTTTGTCGTATTGCTTATAACTAGCCTGCGGGTTTTATGCATTTATAGACTACAGAGCTCTGTAAAATATAATAAAACACAAAAACTTTCATCGGATCCATCGAGTTTTCTATTTTATTCTGAACCCAATGAGATACTTAAAAGGGAAAATAAATGTCTACAATTGTTCTTATCTTTATAAATTACTTAAGAAACTTTTATTTCGCATGAAAGTCCGCAGTCTACTTATAACAAACATAGTTTCTACTACAGGCAATGAACAATTTAAAACACGCTGTATTACAAATTTCACTCGTACAGAAACAAGCTCTTCAATACCTTTTACACCTTACTTTGTTTCCTTCCAATGTTAACATGGAGTTGCATGATAATTTAATGTCGCCAACTGATGACGTTTAATTAAGCCCGCAATGGTTCCGTTTTCTCATTACCATCTCCGTCCATAAAGACGCCATTGCTCTCGTACACGAGCACGTGATCGCGTTCCGGGTGAGTTCAATTCCAGAAAATGCGCGGGAAACCGATCGTTCACTCGAACCTGTGACCCCGCACGATTTATCCAATTCCAACTGTTCTGCAAGACACGGTGCAAAAAATAGCATAGTATATAGCGAATAAACAATAGATTGAACCAGAGATAATGTAACATTCGTAATTGAGATCGATCTAGTGGAACCAACGACGTGGCGCCACCGAAGAAAATCGTCGGCTACGATTTCCAGCCGGACCTTTCCAGACCGCGCGTTATTCAGAATTAAAAGCGATCGTGGAATGTGTCGGCGGTGAGGAAGAAATAGAGGGGGAAAAAAACCTTTTTCGGCGAATAATTCTACGTAGGAGCGATTACGTTCGACAGGTCGACGCACGACCAATATCGATTCCCGTCTAACGCTCACTAATAACTGGAGCATGAAAAAGCATTATGTGCGTGTATACATGTACACACACGAGCCGAAGGCTTCTCTAATATCTAATTTCCTTCGTGTCGCTTTACGAGCCGTTTCTCGCGATGTTGACTGTGTCGATCGGCCGTTGATCCGAAGATCCGACATTTTTCGATATTAACCCTATGGAGGTGGAGGGCCTAAATGCTCCGTAGGAGTAATTAACAATGGACAATAATTGAAAATTATTTAGGGTTATTCCAAGTGAAGTGATCCAATGTCGTTGCTTGGCCATTTTTGAAAAATATAATTTTTTCTATATGTTTACCCTCATATGTTGACACTTCTAAACAAGCGTCAGTTTATGCTAATGATTTCACTTTAATAATAATTTAACTTCACAAATCTCTTTCAGATAATCTAATGCTAAGCAAATTTGGACAGTAATCGAAAGAATTCTGTGGATACTCGCTCCTCCGAACGAACTTTTTCGGGCACCACTTCTGGTCATTGTATCTCAGTTTTCAGTTGAATTTCCACTTCGATATTCTATGTTTTCCAAAAATATACTCGACCACTTCGTTTTTATTTTTGGTCACTGAAATATCGTTTCCATCCACAATTTCATTTTCAAACTCATTTTCTTCTCACTAACAATGAATAGAGTTTTGTTGCCTTAGGTTTAAAAACGTTAGATTTATTAAGTATAGCTCGAGTGCATGTTTAAAATTTATGATTATAATTCCAGAATATTTATTTCTACCAAAAGTAACCTTATTGTTATTGGTATTTTAACTTTTGTCAAATTGAATTATACACATTTGTACGTGCTATAAATGCATAAGTCCTACAATCTAATTACAAAGGGACTCGATTTACCAAAGTTTATGTAATGTCTGATATTCTCCTTTTGCTTGTTGTAAAAGAATTGGACTTTGAAGAGCGTGAAGTGAAATTTTTGATAATTCGATGAAAGGCGTGAAGCGTAATGCACTGATAGCGAAGGCTGCAGAGCTCCGTTCGGAAAAACGGGGACAAGATTTAAAAATAGTGGGCGATCCGACGACGCCTGCCTTGAGGGGCATTAAAAATATTATCCAAACCCCTGAATATATTGTCGCGTCGGAGTGCATTCATCCTACGTGACACTGAAACAGTAGATTTTTAAAGCAGTCCTAAAAATACCTGTCGATTTCGTAAGAATCTGTTCCTCGACTTCGTTTGTCATTTCATCGGCGTGATAAACGGTACAATATTTCTTTACGCCATTAATACAAGTTTAAATTACACACATTCTTTTTATTACATAAAAAATGTAGATTTTCTGCAGGCCTTCATGATAAATTTAACTTTACTAATCTAATAATTATTTCTAAGTGAATAATCTTAATTAAGTTTACCTATCAGTATGAACGACATTAAATTTAATGAACTAACAGAAGTTCTTTTTCTTACTGTTCATTGTTATTAAAATTCAAGGTTATTATTAAACGTAGTTATTGTTATTATTCTTGCTATGTAATCATTATACATTAAGTTTTTGCCAGTGACAGAAATTATCTACAAATTCCGTTTACAATTCGACGCGATAATTTCTGTTTAGAATTGAATTACACGAAACTTAACGATAACGGATGTACATATGTATATACATACAATGGCGATCATGGGAACGGTGTAGTCGGTACTAAATAACGAGGATGGAATTCAAATTACGGTATACACGTATTCCCTCGTTATTTCATTTTCACAGACTATCATCAATCACTCAGTAACTTTTCACCCGATAAGTATTACAGGAAACAATATGTCACAAGTTACCCCGGGAACAACATTTTCTTTCTCGACCGGGGATTGGCTAATCACCCTCGTGAAACTAGCGCGCGCGCGCGGCCCGTACTTATTTCGTTCAAAATAACCTGTAATTTACGCTAAACGTATCTATCATTCTTGTCGACACCCTGTTTCATTAACCAATTTCAAAGAAAGAAACCTGCCGTGCCCGTTCATCGAGGAAAGCGTGCTTCATGGACCGCGTATATGAACGAGAAACAACGAAAGATCGGGAAAAATCGTTGATTTATTGGACAGTTTGATTAATTACAATAGTCAGTGAATATTCAGACTTAGACAGCGAGAACAGAAAAAATCATAAAAAAGTTTTCTCGCAAACGTCTTATTTACACGTTTCTTATATTATTAAGTTGTCCGAGAAAATAACTAAATCACTTTATTTCTTATTAATTTGTTTCGTGTATCAAAGAATTAAAATTGCTTGCACAACAACATTTGCTGAGAACACATTACCAAAAAATTGAATTTTGTAAAAATAATTTTTATTCAGAATTGTTATGATCATGCGTAAAAAGTATGATACTGATGAAAATTGGTTTGTTTCGTAAGTTTTGTACGTACGAACTTAAATTGTCGTCACATCGGAAAAATAGAAGATTACTTGCCGCTACACCTTGTAATTGTTCAAACTTTGCCTTGCTTCGCCGTTTCCCCAGCTTCTTTTTATCTCGAGTTCACCTCACCGCCACCACGTCCGTGTAAATAATTTTCTCACCTTCTCTATCCTTCTGTCCGGGTCTAGTACGATCGTTGATCACAATTTAGATATCACCTGGAAAATTCCTCCGTGTCTTTGATATCCTGTACAAGCTAACGTAAAGCACAATAAATAATACCGCGGACACCATGTGAAAAATTAAAAAGAAAATTCTTGTCTCGAAACAGAAATCTTTCGTCATAATAGTGACCTTTAGAAATATTAAAGACTGTATTCTTGAAAACAATCTTATAAATACAACCACTAAATCAACGATTAACCTTTTGTAGAAGTGGAGAATGACATTTATATTAAGATTTAGAATGAGATCGATAAAAAAATGTTACAGTCATGAATGAAGAACAAAAACACAGAAAGAAATATTTGTTAAATAATCTCTTGAAATTTTAACTCTTCGACTACTAATTCTGTTCAAAGATAAACGTTGGATGTAGACGCGCGTGTCCCAAAGTTCAGGGAATGAGAGGCCAGGAAACGAAGAAGAAAAAGGTGTACAAGTGATATGTGGAATCGTGATTTCGATGACAGTCGAAGAAACTGAAATAGAACCGAAGATCGTGGTGCAGTGCGAGAACGTTTGCCCCGGTTCGAAAGAAACGATGAAGATTATTTCGCGAACCGGTCATCAAGTTCATCACGGAGAAGACAACTGAAGAAGTCGCCTACGATGACGTCCATACTGTGAAACAGACAGCGAATCTTCGCCAAGATGGATCGAGCTTTCCTGTTCGTTCTATTGATCTCTTTAACGGTAAGATCTAATTCTATTATAGAATACAATTTCCATTAGTATCCAGTTCTACAGGGAGTAACAAAAATGTTGGAGAACCCGCAAATAGGAGCCTCGTGAGATAATTAGAAACAAGTTTTTCCTCAGCGAAAATGTTATCTGAGGCTTTGTTAACGAGATATTAACGAAAAACCCCGACCAATCAGACCGTCAGTTTGCCGGCTGAGTTCCCGCGGTAAGGTTGGCTATGCGCTGCGATTGGTAGCCAACATTACCGCGGGAACTTCGCTGGCAGACTCGCGCTTTGATTGGCCGTGGTTTTTCGTTAATATCTCGTTAACAAAGCCTCAGATAACATTTTTGCTAAGGAAAAACTTGTTTCAAATCACCTCACGAATCTCCCATTTCCGGGTCCTCGAACATCTTTGTTACACCCTGTATATTTCTATCGATTTAAATTTAATCTTGAAAGGTTTAGTCACTACTTAATGGCTGAGACACTTCTGGGCCGGTCCCCATTTGGCTTGAAGTCCAATGCCAAACTCGTAGATCAAATTAATGTGCAGTCGTTCGTGCGCGTGCTGAACGCGCACGATAGGGAAGAAAAAATCGAAAACCATGAAGCGGCCCCCTTTGAAGCTGAATTCAAAGGACAGATTTCTTTAACAGGAACACGTCACCGATTTTCTAAAGAACTTTTGTACGCCCGTTTCGAAACTGTAGAGTAATTCGTCACGTTGAACGCTTTAAATTGGCGAAATGTTCGCCGCGTTAGGGTTCGAGTTTATGATACCACTTCAGAAGAAATTCTTGGTGTTTTTATATATATATTCTACGCTTCCTGAATTTTCTATTTAGTTATGTATTCCTTAGATATGTAGATGCCTTTTTGCACGATTCACCACTGATCAGTTCTGTTCGTTTTAGCGTTGTTATATTCATTTTAGTGTGTTGTTTAGTAATGTTACAGTAAAAGCGTTTATTCCGTAAATGTACATATTTCCTGGTCAATGTATGCACTTCCTAATCTGGTTAGTAAATGTATTCACAAGGAACGAAATTTGTACTTTTACTAGTAAATGCATACATTTACATTTCTGATTTAGAAAATGCACGCACAAACAAAAATGTATTAATTTCAATAAACACTTTTGCTAGCATTTGTTCGTATGAATCATATAACTTATAAATGGCTTCATAGGGTCGCGGCTTTACAGTTTACATTTATATAGGTATGCAGTTAATTTCACGGGTGCAAATCATTTAGGTTATATTAGTAAAATGAATAAAAACAATATGAAGAAAACTTTTCTATTGATCTTTGTAACTGATGTTCCAATTAATTTTGTTAATCCAATAGAACGAATACTATAAAAATGGGAACCGTTTCAAAGTCGACGTGGTCAATTGGACCCAGTGTTACCACGACGGAAGTCTCAAGAGGTGTGACTATGGAGGGTTAACAGTGCGTTTTATCCATCTTACTTGTTCTAAAATCAATTTATAGTATTCATTTCATTCCCTGTTAGTACTGTCTAAGAAGTATAGACCAATTAAATACAGCAAGTTCAAGCCTTAACTCCTAATGAAATTCAGAGGCCAATGAAGTTCGTTGGATCCCACAGCTATAGGCAAAAACGATGGAGTATGGGGGCAATGGTGGCCTATCGTGCACATTGCCCAGAAATATTGTAATTTATACGCTCCACGAAAATCGTTGTCCCGCGTCGTCATCCAAAGTGATTCGTTGAAAGACAAATTACAGGATATCTGGCGCCTCGTGCTTCAAGCCCGATCCGTTCTCTCAGCACATGCTGAAAAGCACGGACCCGTGGAGCTCTTCTTTTTTTTTTCTTATTCCCTTTTTTCCTTCTTCTTTCTCTTCTCTCGCTTTTTTTCTTCGTTCCTTGTCGTTGCCCGAAGAGAGACCCGATGGAGAAGCGTCTCTTGACTCGCGGCAGCTTACCAACCACGGGGGCAATAAAAAGTGTTACACGGCTGTCTCTCGTTCGTGTCACGATGATAAGAAACTCTTTTTTGGGAGCATCTCTTTATCCGTGAGTGTCACTAAAATTCGTCGAGAGGCGTGTCGGTGTATTTTTTCCTGACACCGTCGGATCGGTTCGTGTGGGAGCTCCCCACGAAAGGTTCCCCTCGAGCTTTGAGCGGTGCATTTGGAATGGATTCCAGAGCCTTGTTCTACTTGTAGATTAATTTCTCGAGTGGTAAAACGTCGGTCGTTCGTTTCTTGTTCTTTCGAGTTATTCTTCTTTCTGGATGGAACGAGCCTTTGACCCTCGTGCACTGTTCGATAAACTATTGTATTCACTGGACCTTGAATTTAATTGATTCAGGAAATATATATTACTGGACAAATGTTTTCGGACAAAAACCTTTTGCTGTATTATTTGAATTAGGGATACCATCGATGTTACATTAGATAATCAATACCTGTCTTGCCAAATTGTTATTTTCTTAGGTCAATCACGCTTCGATATATTTTCTAAGTTACCACGTTGAAAAATTGTTTTCGTTTGTATTGAATGTATCGACTATTTCTGTATGTTCACACATCGAGAAAGTATGGATATCACACGCTCCATTTGAGCGATCTATGATTTTTCGTTTTGAAATGTCTGACAAAGTTGTGCCTCGTATCAACCTAGAATAATTATAATGAAAATGTAATATGATGATCTCATGAAACTCATATTTCAGATTATAATTTATGCTTGTAAACGAAACGTCCGTACGTTAGTCCAGTTAAGTATGGGTAAAACTTATTTTATATTTTGTAATATGTAGGTACCCCGGGTAAATTTTATGAAAGCTAGCGTCAGTTTAATAGTGATCTTTTGTAATATTACCATAAATACGTACAAAATGAAAACTCTTTTGTGTTCGAATTTATTTTTCCGATACTGTGCATACGGGTATATTTACCTATCGCTAGATTATAATATATTATAAGCTACTGATTTCAAATAAATTTACAAATTTCTATAATAAAAAATATAATTAGGAATCAAACACTGACTTCAAGTCAAATTAAAAAGGGGATCAAATGTGGGTCCGTTTACACTATAAACCGAGTACTTTTTCAACAAAAGAAAACAAATTTCTAAATATAATCTAAATCATATCAACAAACATCGATGCTTCATAATAATGTCAAATATTATAGGATTGGTGCTATTCCAAATATTAAATGCACGCAGAAATTGTGTATGTAAAAGTGTACAATATCTTCTCATGGCCCTACAGGAATAATAACAAGCTACAGTCTGTTAAAATTGATTGTTCGAAAAGTACATTTACAGAATTCGGTTTTCGATATATATTTGCTGTAATAAATTATTAGCATATTCTAAACGATAGTGAAATGCATTCTATGCATTTTCAACGAACCCGAAATGGCGCAGATCGCGTTCGGCGAATCGACACAGCTTGTTCCATGCATGCAGCGATGTTTTCCCGTCATCCAGATAACGAATTGTCGCGGATATTCGGCATTAGTTTAATCAGCGTTATTATTACCACGTCTAACGAGGTCCGTGTCGTCGCGGAAAGGTAAATAGTCCTCGTGTATTCCTTAATGAACGCCTGTACTTTAAAATTACATCGGATACACACCAGGATTGGCGAGCGTCTCGTTTAAACCGGTCTTTTCGTGCCCATTAAGAACTATGACGAATAAAATAATGATGGAAAAAAATGTATAATGCATTACTGGAACGGAGACCGGGTTTCACATAAAACGTAGGTAAATTTTACAGAACAAAGAAGTCGGAATTAGAAATGATCGGACAACTACGCTATAAAAGGAATTCCCGTCATAAGGCAGGAATAAACAATATTTGCAGGCTGTTTTATGAAATAAGGGTATCGTGTGGTATTAGAGCAGAAGGAAATGGTATTGCTGTAGAGAATAACCAAAAATGGCGACGTACTCGTCGATGCAGAGTCTGGGTTAGGAATATTGCTTGTACGTCAACCACTCCCTCGTTAATTATCATAAGAGATATGCAGGCTGTCCTATCTGTGTCAATCAAGCTTTTAACTACTGCTTTAATATGTATGTACATTGATTTCAGTAAATGTGAGTACAAATCACGCGTACGCAAATATAGATAATATTCTAATTAATTACCATGTCATTGGAAATTCTATGAAATTAAAAGTATAAATATAAATTTCAAAAGGTTGTGCCATTTTTTGTGTCAAGACATTTAAATGAATTTGAGTTGATCAAATAATTGATTACTCTGACACGACTCGTCACTTCAGCTATATATTTAATTTCCTATTTTTTCCCTCGATATAAAGTTTTTGAAAAAATAAGAACACAAAAAGTAGAATTGGGAAAATGATAACATTAATAAATATAGATAAAAGTCTCAAAAGTCGTAGGATTGCACTTGAGTTCGAAGACAGGTCAAATCCCAGTGACATGAGCCCTCCATAAAATTATAGTTCTAATAAAATAAAGGGGCATATTTTTGCAAGAAAATGAACTTCTTGTTTTATGGGGGGAATTGCCTATAAGAACGCTGAAAATAAGCTGATCTTTGTGAATTTATTACAACAGAAACCATAAAACAAACCATTATGAAACGTTCAGTACTCTATATTTATCGTTTAAAGTTACAAAAATCACATTTTATTAAAAATGTCGACTGTAAATGTCGCTATTGAAGGAAGTTGCTGCAGCCTCGCTGTCGGAGGTATAAATTGGCGAGCATTTTAGCTCCTTCGAATTAGCCTCAAATGGAAAACTCAAATATATTCCGTATTATTCGTGAATTATCGTCGATGAACCAGACATGAACATTCTAACAAAAAGTAGAAATTTTAGAAATTTGCAGATACTATAAAATAAAGCTATAATTTTTAGGATTAGCAGTCAAGTCCAAAAACTACTAAAATTCCATTTACTTAAAAAAAATATAAAAAATTCGTATTTGTATATTTATTTCTATTGTAGACATGTAAAAAATTGTCTACGATCAATAATTACACCA